TCTGCTGGAGTCTGTCTGGCACTGCGGGTCGGACGCTCGGTGCCAGCCATGACATGTGCATAACCGTGTGAAACTGAACACCTGAGCGCTCGTGCCAGACCTGATGGGACCGGTGCTCACAGAAGATCACATTTATTTTCTCTAGTACAGAACTTCGCGCTCAGTTTCCAGGTGACTGTATATAATCATTTTGACTTGCTGCACCAAAAGAGAGCATTTGATCACCACTTTATCCGTGGATGTTGTAAATACAGGCCTGTTTTCATTTCAAATGGTTACACTTTTGAATTACTTCCACTGAGGCAGAACTGGAGAGTCTCCTCTAATCGAATTTACTCAAAACGCCACCCATTTTGTTCCGCGAAGTCAGACATTAGCGTTCTCCCGGGAAGGCGTTGTGAGGGAAAGGTCCTCGGGTCATGCTTTATGTACAGTCTGAGCACACGCATTTTCCAGGTTAATCACTCACAACCAGGCAAATTCCACCCTACTAACTGCCTCAATTAAATGCCATCATCACCCATGCGGCCTTGTGGGACACTTGATGTCTCAAATGGAGACGGCGTGCTTCGTGACACAATAGCAGTGAGATTATGAGAGCTGAATGGGAGACGAAACTGAGAGGATAGAAGCTAATAAAGGCAACATAGCAGTCATTATACCTTTAAGTTCGCTGTTTTTTTCAAAATTCTGGTCGACTGATGAAAGTTAATCGTTACCCAGATAGCACACATACGTCTGTAAGCTGTCTGTTAAAGATCGCTTGGTCAGGAAAGCATCTGCTGTGTAAAAATCTGACAGACATCTGTAAGATGTCAGTTTTACATACATTCTAAATCATAAACATCTTAAAGACATCTAATAAATGTCTATTTGACATCTGATAGGAAACTTCCTATAGACGTATTGCAGATGAGCAAACACTCTAAAAAATACGTCTTGCAGATGTAAATGCAGACGTCAAATAGATGTCTCTGTGATGTGCATGTGCTATCAGGGGTGTGCTATCTGGGAAAACACTCTTGAACTGAGACACATTTTGGAGCTCATCCGATAAATGATAAGCTGTTTTAGATCGTCTATAATCGGCCCAAATTTTACCCATTTTCCACATTGACCTAAAAATGCTTCAGTAAATTTACCATATACTGTAACAACCAGAGATTCATTTTCGCTGATACAATTTCAGAAGCCATGTGTTGTGTTTTCTAAAAGCTGTTGTTTTCAGAACTTTGGCTAATCGGACGTTTTCAACATATAGATGACTTAATGGGAACATTAGCAAAACGTTCAGAACGCATTTAGATGGTCTGATCAGCCATTTGATCCAATCAGTTAAACAGGTTTGCAGAAAGCTCTGCAATTGTTTGTGATTCAGTTTGATTCATTTGGACAGTTCACTCACTCACTAAAACATTTCCAGTGGTTGCTTGCATTGAAATGTTAGCAGGATACTTTATAACACCGAAAACCCATAGAGCACTAGATGAGGTGGATATTTACCTGCCGTTTATTTTAGGAAACAAAATGTCTTCTGTCATTTGTCAGCAATAAAGCAGATGTGTAGTGCACATTCAGCTTGTGAACGACTAGGCTATAATGCAGGTTAAAACTATTTATACGCTAACCTTATATCCATAAAGGTATCCGAATTATAAAAATGTTGAAAAGCTAGGAATGATCCTGCTGCCATAAAAACAATATGCAATATGCATGAATATATTAGCATGCTACATTTTGAGCACATTATGTTACTACTTGCAAGTTTATTTTATAATCTCCATAATAAAAATGGTTATTTGGCCTCTCTGATCCAATTTTGTGTGAAAATGTCTTTAACTCTCTGGTGAGGGAAAAAAAGAGTCAACAAAACAATATTACAAGTTTTGGTTGACATTTACAGTGTGATGATGATTACTTCTGGTTCATTCATCACACTGGAAATGTAAGGTCAAACTCAATGCATTGCATAGTGGGACACATGCACATTTTGGCAAATGCAGTAGGTCACCTGGGCATTTCATGCATATGGAAAATTTGCATATTAAGCATGGTATATACTGCAGAAACAGTAGTATGCTATTCAGAACAATCGCAAATGTCACCAAGAGCAGCAAAAAGCTTCTTTTTGAAGGTCAGAATGATGGACTCCACAAAATAATTGGCATATTGAAGAATAATTAAATTTAACATTTAAGATTGGCTGAAAGCAAACCCATGCCTTTGACATAGCATCACCTGAAACACTTAGAAACGCTGTTTTCAAAGCAACACCATGTTGCATCAAAAGCTACTCCTCTTATACTGTGCAGATTGTGTATTTGCAATGGCAAACATGCTTTGGCATTTAGCATTACACTCTCATCTGTCTTCTTGGGGCCGCAGGCCGACACGGCTGCCTTTTTACTTTAAATATTTATGCAGAATCTGGAGGGGACATGGGAGCAATTACAAATTCATCATCTGGACCTGATCAATAGCTAATACAGGTTTCTAAATAAAATGCTTTTAAGAGAAGTTACATTCTTGTCCGTATAGTGTCGGCAGACAGACACAGTTAGTCCACAATACAGCCATTTGCAATTAAATTAGTGAATATCTGGACTGGCATATAGTGAGATTTGTTCATTCGGTTTTTTAAAGACGCTATAGACGATGCTGGGAAAAGTTATTGGCTGTCTCCTATTGTTATATTAGCATTGCGGGATCTCACTGTGTCTGTTGGATTATTTATGTATGAATGTCACCCCAGCATAAATAAACATTACGAGGCAGATAGGGTCATAAAATATTATTGAACAATTTATTGCAGATTTCCTAGATTAAGATAAAGTTTGCATCTGGTTATATTATGCAACATGCGCCCACACACATACATATGGGGTGTTTTTACTGCGATACCCCCTGCTATTGATATCACAGGGGGACATCAAATATTCCGGAGAGAGAGAGAGCTTGGATAAAGGATGTGTTTCATGTGGAAATCATTTTTTTCTGTATTAAAAATGCATAACTAAAAGACCTGTTTTTAGACCTCTGTTTAACAGGTAGATGACCAGTGACTTGACTTTTTTTTTTTTACAATCCAACCACATCCTGTAGTGCTGATGAATTTAGAAGTATAATGTAGAAATATTTGTTTTGTATAATATTTTTCTAGATTATTTTTCTAGATTAATCATGTAGTGCTGATGAGTTTAGAATTCTAATGTAGAAATAATTATTTCTAGATATACATTTTCTAGATCCATTTTTCTATCATATGATCATTATAATTCTTTTGAAAATAGTGGCTCAATGTGAGCTTTTCATGCCATTTTCGGGGGTCATGTTTAGCCCCAGTTAACATAATTCTGGGTCATCGTATTCTATGTTTCACATTGTTCATACTAGTTTGCCCTGGGGTAGTAATTAATCCTGTGTTATCAGGTTTCAGGATTTCATGTGTAAAAACATTTTGGGGGTTTGTGGTTTTAAGCAATTTATTGGAGAAGCACAGAACGCAACCAGTGTTAATAACTGCTCGTCCATCTGTGAGGATGTTTATCATTCTTAACGCTATTTCTTTTTTAGGTGCAGGGCATTAAAGTTTCTGCGACTATGCAAATGCATTAATATTCATAAGGCAAGCATTGTGTACATTTATTATTATTTGTCCAGAACAGCGCAGTTTGACAATGTATACCTTTGTGTATTTTGTTTGTTTGTTTGTTTGTTTATTTAAATAGACCAAGAAAATTGCAACTTAAATTGACAGCCAGTGATCACTATGCATTTCCATTGTATATAAAAATCAGCTTTGACACTTTCATAATAACTCTGTTTGTGTTCCACAGGAGAACAATCTGTGGAAGGTGTGACTTCCATGTGTGTTTTCTGCCACAATGCTTAAAGGAATAGTTCACACAAAAATGAAAACTTGCTGACAATTTACTCACCCTCAGGCCATCAAAGATATTATTATAAGGGCCATTATCTCCTTGTATTAAAGTTAATCTTGTTCGCATTCTGTATAGTTCATGTCTGATACCATGCGCCAGCGTCATGTGTTCATGTGGATTAGGCTAATCATCCCATATAGAAAACATCACAAGTCAAATAAATCATGTTTATAAAGATAAACATGGGTTTATTATAGCCCACTTACAATTTACATTTCAGAGATCATTACAAATAAATTATTAAATGCTAAAACTGAATACATTTAAATGAACAAACTTGGCGTTGCATTTGCAACCATGTGAAAACAGGGGGTGCTGCAGCCCCCTCAGCACCCCTACTTCCCACGTCCCTGCTTCAAACTGTCACTTATGGCCATAATCCATAGTAATGCTTCCTCCAGTCCATTCCCTGTTGTCCTTTAACATCAAAATCCACCAACATCTGTGTTTAGAACTGTTTTAAAATGTTTTCACTTGTAAACAGTGCTTGATCTGTGCATATGTCTCTCCTGATTCAGACGAGACAGCTTTTTCACTGGAGAAAGCAATGTTATGGATAGAGGACTCATATTTTAGCTGAAAGCAATGGTTCAAAAATAAAAACGCTTTAAAGATGGATTTGTTTCTTACAAACATGCAGCTTTTCACTTCACAAGACATCAGTTGATGGACTGGAGAGGTGTGGATTGCTTGTGGAGTATTGTGTTATATGTTTTTATCAGCTGTTTAGACGCTCATTCTGACGGCACAACATGACAGCCAGTAAAAAATCGCAACATTTTTATTCTATTCTAATTTATACTAATAAACAAAAAGATAATACTGCAAATAAATGCACATCTTCACACAACATTATGTGAAGTGTATGTGTGTAGGAGAGTTCGCGCGCGAGCAATCAGCGCCCTAATATAACTGTCTTTAGGACCCAGTTCCCTATCTTCTCTTTCTTTGTAGTTATCCCCCTTTCTTTCTTTCAGGAGAAAAAAAATAAATAGTGAACAGTATGAGATTCAGTAAAGAAGATCTGAGATCACGGCGCGTCAAGGCGCGTACGGTGCGTTAGTTGAAGAGAGAGAGACGCGGTGGAGGATCAGAGACCCTCAGTGATACTCATATGCCTCTGATATTATAGGGAATTATTATGGGAATTCATTAACGCTCGTTATCGATCCACGTGCGCGTTCTTGAATAACACTCGTGATCCGGTTTCATCGGCTGGGAATAAACTTTCACATTCCTGTTGTTATTTATCATCCTTTATTCATAAGGACAAAGTGGATCTGGTGGATTACAGGTGGGTGTCCTCTCCATAAAGTACAGCATATTGTGTTTCTGGCCATGTGTGTAAATGATGCCCAGCCATATGTTTCCATTTACATGGAGATTATCATCACAGCGCGAGCCGTGGTCACTTGGTCATGGTTTTCTCATCTTATGATTTGAAATGTTTTTAAGGGATATTGATATTCATATCATGAATTGTTACAATACTGTAAATATTAATATGTCTGGGATCCATAATCTAAGATCAGCAGGTGGATCGTACGGTCCCCGTGTGCGCTTATGGACCAACTTAACCCGTCACCATAGTGTGTGATTGGCAGTATTTTACTTAAACAACCCCCAGTTTCTTCACCTGATTTGTGGATTTGTCTTCTTATTCACAGGTTTGAGTGGCAGAAATGAGGGAGAGGTTCGCGTTTCATCTTCTCATCTTCGTGTTGACGCTGTTTTGGCACACCAGGTAGGACTGACATTCTTGACTTCGATCTTTAAATGAGCTTGAGGATATAAGGCATCAAAATAATTGATATAAGCTTAATTTGAGGATACTGGGATTGACTCGAAACCTCTTGTATCCGTGCGTAACTGGAGACTTTTACGCGCACGACTCCGGTGGTCATCGAAAGAAATCGCTCCGCTGACAAAGACTGACAAAGAGTGGCTTCATGTTTATTTAATGAGGGCTAATTATTGCAAGTTTAATTCATGCAAATTAGCTTTGGGTTTTTTGAGAGGCTTCGTGAAATCATTGGTTTTTGTAAAGTTGACGCTCATAATGCATGCATGATTGCTTATGCTAATTAAACCAATTATGTTTAAGTATGTTAATTATATTCCTGAGAAGCGTTTCACATAAACTTTCCTGTAAGTAGAACATGTGAAACAGAGGGAAAGAGTGCTCTAATCACATCACAGCAGTGTTGAGGAGATAGCAACACTAATATTTCCGGAAGGAAGGATAATTTTCCAAAAAGTGGCAATGTAGTTTGACAAAACACTTGCTGTTTTCATGTTTCATTGTGTTATGCACAAGCAAGCTACTACAGTAATCAAAAGTACACTCTTACAATAGTTCTTTCTTTCTCAAGCATTGGGAAATCCTGTTTCAGCAAAACGATTCAATTAGACTGTGCAGTTTAATACTTTAATAATAGTTATAAATTACCTGCATGTCATTGTGTGTGTGTGTGTGTGTGTGTGTGTGTGTGTGTGTGTTTCCTTGAATTGTGGGGACTTTCCATAGACTTAAATTACTTTTATACTGACCAAACAATATTTTCTATCCCCTAACCCTAAACCTATCACTTACAGAAAACCTGTTTGCATTGTTACATTTTCAGATAAACATAATTTACTATTTTTAATCATTTTTTCTCCTTGTGGGGACTGCAGGCCGGTCCCCACAATATCAAAAATGTCAGGTTTTACTATGCTTTTTTACTATCCACAATCAGTGTTGGGGAGTAACTAGTTACATGTAATGGCGTTACGTAATTTAATTACAAAATAAATGTAACTGTAATCAGTTACAGTTACTAAGAAAAAATGTGTAATCAAATTACAGTTACTTATGAAAATGTTAACGATTACAAAGGGGATTACATTTGAATATTTACACACATCACTATTGTCTGTTAATATTAAGCCGCAAAAAGACAATATATGAATCCTGCACGTTCTGCGTGTCTGTGGAAATCAGGCGCGGACTGGCCATTGGGAGAAACGGGACAATTCCCTGTGGCCTGGCAGCCGATTTGGCCCTCTATTTTAATATTGTTATTGTATAATTGCCTGCCGAATGTACTAAAGCGATTATTTCCGAATTCGCCATTCGATAATTAAATCTCTAATAAATCATGAATCGGTTAGTCGTGACTGGCAATGCCTGTGGAAGCGCACAGGTGGAGCAGAGAAGCAAAACTACTGTTCAGGGTTTCAAGTGCAGGTCAGTTTCATCTGTAAATATGCTATTGTAGTTTTGTCTTTGTTTACTTAGTTAAGCAGCAGCAGCCCATTGCTCATCAATCATCACTCAAAATACTGTATAAAGGACATCATTATTATCTATTGTAATGTTACAGTAGTCCTTTAGCAGACAAATGATCATATTTATAATAGGTTTAGGGTGAGCTAGGGCAGACAACAACACAAGCCTTACGAAAATTAACAATGATTTTACTATAAATCCAAAGACAATGGTTACTATTGTTAAACCATGGTAACCATAAATTACCCATGTTTTTTGCTACACTAACCATAGTTTAACCATGGAATTTGTAGTAAAAATAAATACAAATGGTTGTCCATTTGCCAAAAAAAAACAAAAAAACATGGTTTCTGTACTTGTACTATAATTAAAGCATGGTTAATTGTTATAAGGGAAAAACATGACTCATGTTCAGTAGGATTTTTATATAAAAATATTGTAGTGATGTACTAATTTTGACATGTAGGCAGTTTAGAAAGTATAGTTTTGTTAAATCTTGAGTATTAAAGTCATGAGAGAGATAGATATCAGGGCAAAATAAAGAAAAATGGAAGTGAAGGTGTAGTTCAGGAGAGAACTTTTAATTATTTTGCATGTCCCCAACCTAAGGATTTAAACCTTTTTTTATGTGAGGTCCATACAAAAAATAGGGTTGTCCATGTTTCAGAATTTATTGTGGGTGTATGAGTGTGAGATTTCCCGGCATTAAATTTTTTTCCCAGTCCGCCCCTCGTGGAAATTAATGGCACAGACATGCGGTTTAATTTACTACACATAGGCCTACTGAAGCTCGCAGTGTTTGCAGCCTCTGCCACCTCAATATATGAGTACATGAACACATAAACATAATCTCTAGAACTGCTCTGAGTCACTTCATGAGCATTTTTGAGAAAACTATCATCATATCATATATACAAAGAGAAACCAATGTTTCAGGAGTTTAGTACACAGAATAGGACACATGCTTATTAGATAACCGTATTTGAGTTGATGTATATGCTTTTATTTATTATTATTTTTTAATTAACTTTATTTTCCAAACCATTGTTAGATGCAGTGTTTCCTGTAGTTATGCAAAGATTTGGTTTCAAAAACAGTATCA